GACTCAGCTATAAAATACTGTTTCATAAAGAACAGTTCCACAGGGACTGCAAGACAGAGCTCTTCCACCAGGCCTTTGGTTAAGGAGCTGCCGCCGCCACCAAGTATACCATCATTAATATTATTAGAGCCCGTTCCCTGGTTTTCATCGTTTACAGCTAGTGCCAGCGTCTGCTGCATATAACGATTAAGGAGCTGAAATAAAATAAAGGTTATTTCTCAAAGGAGGTGTCCTCTCTCAGTTTTTAAGGATTCACTTGGGAAGTCTGCTTTCTTTCGACTAAGGACAACAACCACAGTAAAACAGTGCCTAAGTTCAAGGAGGAGGAAGTCATGTTCCTCTAGGATTAAGTTCAAAGCATCTCTGGAAGAAATCTGCTATGATATAACCCTAAAGATACACTATGATATAACCCTAAAGATACACATTCTGATCTCCTTCCAATCATGCATATTTTAACCATTTCCTAGTGAAACCTTGATAGTTTTGCTCAATTGTTAGTTGACATAGTCTAAAATAGTGACTCAGCTATAAAATACTGTTTCATAAAGAACAGTTCCACAGGGACTGCAAGACAGAGCTCTTCCACCAGGCCTTTGGTTAAGGAGCTGCCGCCGCCACCAAGTATACCATCATTAATATTATTAGAGCCCGTTCCCTGGTTTTCATCGTTTACAGCTAGTGCCAGCGTCTGCTGCATATAACGATTAAGGAGCTGTGAAACATAGCAGATCGTAGAACATAATAATATGATTGTACCACCATTGTTAACTATTTATATCTATTTAGCTAGCACTTTATGATTGTGGATTGTTTTAAACTGGTTTTATCTATGTTTACAATTGTCTATTTATATTTTATCTTTTGTAAGCCGCCCTGAGCCTGCCTCGGTGGGGAGGGCGGGGGATAATTTCAACCAATTAATAAATAAACAAACAAACATAACTGTATCCAAATGTCCATTAGTTCCTTTAATTTGCTGCTAACCCTTCATGTGCTTTAAAACCTTTTCTGTTCTCAAAGAGATATTTAAAAAGTGGTAGGAGCAAGATTATGTAATCTACACATGAGCACTGACTTCCCCTACATTACATATAATGCAAAAAAAAGGATAGCTGATACACTGCTTTTAGCACACCCAAAGAACTGTTCGTGATATTACTTGGAGGTGGTTTTCACTCATCTATTTCAAGAGAATTTACTCTCTTCCATGGGGATCATGAGGTACCTCAGTTTCTGTGTCACTCTATAGCTTCACATGTATCACTTGTTAGTTCTATATCAGAACGGGCTTTAAATTACACCCTTCCATCTATGTGAGAGGAGATGTAAAAATTCTAGTTTTGGTTTTTATTAGACCTACACAGCTAATCAGGTAAGTTCACAACTTGACATTTAAAAAATTTATAATACTACATGCATTTGTGGTTTTTCCTTCTCTCTCCCACTTCACAAATCAATCTACATGTATTCTCAATCCAATTATCTCCAGACAAATAGCCAAATTCTGCTTCTACTTGGTAAAATTTCACAATAAGAAGTATGGTTACGTATAGTTTTTATTTGTAGGACTTGTAATCATTTTACATATATTCAACATTTTTAGATAAATCTTAAAGTTTTTTTGGGGTTATTGTAGTTCATAAATATTTTAAGGTTTTTATGACTAAACATATTTTCTGTGCTGGAATGAATCACTTTGACTGTATAATATTGTATTCTTATGAAAAATGGTCTTTGACTGCAAATAAACATTCATTCATTCATTCATTCATTCATTCATGTACTCTCTCACATGAGTCCTAGGGACAATCACCTGAAAAACATTAATTACAATTCTGAAACTGCCAAACTTGCCTAAAATTATAATGGCAGTGGCATCCATTCACTGTTACTTATTTTATAAACCATGAAACTTTAGAAACGGAAAACTTTCTGCTGAAAAGTGAAGCCCTGGAAAGTGTTCCACTACGCTTCTATGTCTCCCTTGGTAACTTTTCTCTGGGGAAAACTGGATAGAACCATCCCTAACACAGAGAAACTGAAAAAGTAATGGCAGAGTCAGAAACACAATATAAGTGCTGCATTACTTTTGCTCATATTAGGGAAGTCATCTTAAGAATTTATAGGAAACAGAGTGAAGAAAAACCAACAGCAATATCTCTACAAATTGCTCCTTCTCCCCTTGGGCATATTTTCAATAGCAAATGCAGCAGGCATCCTACCACGCTTCTTACGCTTAGTTACAGAGATAATCAGTCTTACCCTTTTAAAGCAGAACATAACCAAAGAAATTCACCCCTATTATCTCCAAGCGTATACAAGTTTAAAAATTTGCAAAGGGAATTATGGAGTTGTTAAGCTTACAGAAATATAAACAGAATAGCCAGTCCTGTTGAAATGTGTTTAAGCACTGACAGTGATACATACAGAAAATAAAATCCATAACCACAGTTTTAAAGAACTAAATGATTTACAGTAAAGACACACTGTTGGCATTTAATGAAATTTGGCAGCTCACTATTTACAACTACTGCATGTTTCAAAATTGTTCTAATTTTGTCCCCCCTCTTTTGATCCAAACTGACAATATCTCACCAACATGTATGAGGAGGGAAATGATATTAATTTTAAAATTAGTTTCAGATAACCAGTTTTAACATTAAATTGACCATTGCTAAGTTATTTCAATAGCAGCTGAGCTGCTGCAATATGAAAGTCACACTGACCCACCAAGATCAATTCAACTATATCACCCGATGCTTACTTCATTCCACTAAAATCAACAGGGCTTCAAGCTTTATTATGTTAAACAGTAGCTCTACTAAGGAGCTGCGGTGGCTCAAGTGGTTAAGACGCTGAACTGCAGGCTGTGGAAGGTCGGTAGTTCAGCAGTTCGAGACCCAGGTTGCCGCATGACGGAGTGAGCTCCCGTCTCTAGTTCCAGCTCCTGCCAACCTAGCAGTTCAAAAGCAAGAAATTGCAAGTATATAAATAGGTACCACTTCGGTGGGAAGGTAACAGCGTTCTGTGCGCCTTGGTGTTTAGTCATGCCTGCCACATGACCACGGAACGTATACGGACAGCCCTGGCTCTTCGGCTTTGAATCGGAGATGAGCACCGGAACCCTAGAGTCGGATTCAACTGGCTTTCGAGCAAGGGAACCTTTACCTTTACCTCTACTAAAACATTAGTTGATCAATGAGACTGGGCCAATTTTTATACATGAGAAGATATATGCATTTAAGTCTGTTTTGGCTCGCACAATAGCTTATATCAGTTATGATTCACATCTCAAGCCCTATTTCCTGTGTCCCAACCTGAAAAGGTGAAGCAGTTGGCGTCTAGAGGCAGGGCTTTATCAGTGGTGGCACGTGTCTTTGGAATGCCCCTGTTTGCAAGCCTTACCTTCTTTTATATCCAGGCTTTAGAAAAAAATATCTAAGAAGTCTTTTCCCGTTTTATTTTATTGTATACACTAGGATTTGTTTTATTGATCATTTTTGTTTTGATTATTTCACAGCACAGTTTTTTCTTGTGACACACCTTGACTGATTATCTACCCCCATGATTAAAGTGACTATTCTGCCTGGTACGATGAAGTCTTCCTATACTAATCCAACAGCAGCTTTTGAACACTGCTGTAAAATATATTTGTACTGAATTTACTATATTTCCACTGCATGTCCAGCTTGCGCTTAATTTTATTCCAGATTCCACTGAAAACTGTTGCACTCTAACTCTTTGTAAAGCTTTGGACTGGGTGGTGGTGGTAATATTTCCATTTCTAGAACCGTCATTTAAGCTGCATAATAATCCATTGTAGCTTTGAATTTCGCTGCTGTGGAAAATTAGCTACAACGCATATAATTTGTACAGTTTGTCCATATTTCCACAGGGAGACCTTCAAAGAGTTACATACACAGGTTTCTGTCACATGATTCTAGGTCTACTAGAGAAATTCACGCTAAACTCAAACTGTATGTAGTTCTTTGTAAATAGGTTGTACCAATTTGACAATTATGAAATCAAGGCTTCACATGATGATGATGATGATGATGATGTGTCATAAAGTCACAACTGACTTATGGCAACCCCTCAGTGGTTTCCCATCCAAATACTAACCATGGTCAACCCCACTTAGCATCAGGCTAGTCTAGACAATTCAGGAGAAATAATATTGCTCAGAGTGACAACAGCCAGATGGCAAAAGAAAACAGATTCTTAAACTCTACAGCAACACAGGTTTCATGCCTAATGTTTTGGAGACTGGATTTGTACATCCCTGACCACAACCAAAAGAGGTAATTTAGCTGTGCCTAAGAGTTTGTCCACGGACAGCAGAATTGTGACGTTTCCCCCCTTTCAACACTAGATGTCCATACGACGTTGCAAACTGCTTTTGAAACTTGAGAAAGGGTCAAAAAACAAAAATGATTAATGATTTTAAGAAGTCAGATGCTGTTCTCTAGATTGTGAACAAAGGCATCTAAAGTAATCAATAGTTTTCCATCATCATCCAGCTATATGTGCTCCATAACAGAATGTTATAATTGTCTTTTTTCTAGTAAGAAAAACATTGCTTTTGAAAAAGCCAAGATATATATACATTTCAATATCCTTTTTGACATTATAGTGCAGCCTGTTGAGAAAGCCTACTTTAATATTTTACAACTAAATTTTTTTTTCATTTACAAATGTCTATATCTCACCCTTCTACCAAGGAAGTCTGGGCAGCATACATAGTCCTTTCCTCCTCCAATTTTGTCCTAGCAATCTTGTGAGGTAGGTTAGGCTAAACAAGCACAGCCCAAGGTTACCTAGCGAGCTTCATGGCTGAGTGAGAATCTGAATCTTTATCTTCCCATTCCCAGTCTAACATTCCAACCGTTATACCACATTCGTTTTAATATACATATAATTCAATACACATGAAAGATACTCTGGCCCCTCAATTTAAATAGGACATCTTGAAATAACATCTCGATATAACTACTTACTGCAGGTACCAGTAGTTTTTTTACTTCCTCCACAGCCCTCTTCAATTTGATTTCTGCTCTGTTTTGAGCATCTTCCACAGTGATTAGTACATGCAAATCTTCATTCAGATGTTCCCAATTCGGCTTGCCTCTGTTTTGTTCTTCCTGGAAAAAATAACACACGTTTAATTTGTCACCTCAACAGCAGCAGGCACATGATTTACAAAACACAGCCAGAGAAGCTGATTTCTTATAATTTCCATTTTGCTAGTATAATACATGGGTCGCTGTAGGTTCCAAGGGGGGAAATACTTCAAGTGAGGGGAGGTTGGAATTCACATGCAAGAAAAGAAGGGGAAGGCGTGCAAGCCAATATGCTCATCACAGAAATAGGACTTTCAATGTGTCCTTATAATTTTGAATTGAAATTGACTTGGGAGAGAATAAGCATTACTTCTACACAAGCCAATATCAGTTACACATGGAAAAACCCCACTGCATAAAGATTACAACATTTTAAATTATTATTGGCATGAGAACAATTCAAAACTTATTTGAGGTGGAGGCAACAGACTACAGCAAGGATAAACAAGGAGCCTCCCATCATCCCCACCAAGTGTTCTGCCTTGTGATTTTTTTGGTAGGGGCCCACCAATCATGCACAAGAATGTAAAGAAACCATTTCAAAACAGCATCAGTTGCCTTGCCCCCAATTAACAGAAATATCCAACGATTCACAGAAAACTGAGCCTAGACTGTGTACAGAATGCCTGAGCAAGCAGTCCAAGTATGCTAAGTCTGAGACAATTACTAATGAGAAGTGACAGGTCAGGAAATATCAGACTGTTGATTAGAGGATTTATACTAAAATTCTGGAAACATCCAACTAATTTTTCTACTAAATAATGCCACATTAAGAGCTTTATATGAATGAAAAGTTTCTCTTTTAGCAGATGCATAAGAAAAACAGAACTTAGTCCCATTATACAGAACGTTCAGATACTTTAAGGAAATGAGTTTTTCAATGTACAGCATTTATCATTTATGGCATACTACTAGCATACTTGAAAGAACCCAACCTCTGGTTTATACCACACACATTCTTAATTAATGCTCAAGGTCCTATACAGTGCAGCACTGTGCCTGTGTTTACATTCACAGTCCTCTGTGAATTAAAGTGCGAATCCAGCTATCACCCTCATGTGATTTCCAAGTGCATTAACAGTATTAACTAAGGCTTGTGCATCAACAGTTAAAACAGCTCAGTAGGAGGCTTTTTTCTGATTTTGTATCATAGAATTCTAGCAACTACTCAAGAAGATAAAATTCAAATCAAGCTAGACAATTCATGACTAGCTAGCAATGCTGGCTAGACCTGTGTGTCTCAGTCCTTTATGCGTCTTCTTCCTAGATGCCAAAGAACTAAGCCCTGAAGCTTACTGTAAAAGGAAAGGACAGACATTCTCTGGAAAGAACTGAGCCATTCCATTTAGTGAGGAATGTGGTGAGCATGTGTGCTCCTGACTCTTGCAGGACTGGGACATATCATTCCTGCAACTACTATCAGGTGACACCCTGAAAGTATGAACCACTTATTATATAACAGCTGTAAGTTCTGTATTTATTACTATACACAAATTATGCTTTTATTTCTATATTTTTTGGTTTTGCTCATATTTTAGTATCACGTTTAATTTATATTTTAATTGACAGTCATAATCTTTACTATTGTGTTGCTAAATCAATTTCAGCTATAACTCATTTAGTCAGTTACACATAGACCAAAACATCTTATGACACTCTAGTTATGTTTTATTCTTTTTTTCTTTTTCTGTGCTCTTTTTTCATTACAGTCATAATTCTGTGCCTTTTCTCTTTGTATGTGGAAAATTTTGCCTTTGCTTCTTCCCATCTGTATTCACTTCTTGGAGTAGTTAAGGCTTCCTTGTCTTATGTAGCTTCTTGATTTCTCTTTAGTCAAAAAGATCATCCTATACAATTGATCCTCTTGTATCTTCTCCTTTACCCTTTCAAAAATTAAAGAATTTGTCATATTTTCCATAGGTCTGTTAATTTGTCCTGTGTAGCTTCTTATATTCTCTAGGATAAGAAAGGAAATTCCATAGGCTGAAACATCTTGCTTGGAGTCCTGCTCTTTGGCTAGGATCGGTTGTCTCTGTGGATCTTCCTTCTCAGTTATAGTTTCTGGAACTGCATACTCTGCTCCTTATTATAAAGTATCTCAAAAGCTTCTGTAATCGCTTGTTGAATTGAATCCCCAAGAATATTTTGGAATTGTTCCCAGGAAAACTGTCTCTTGTACATTGTCTGGATCATCTAAAGTGCCTGTCTCGTAGGGTGGCATGTTTTTCTGAGAGTGCTGATAGTTCATTTCAATGCAATAACAAGAATCTCAGTTCAGTCTAACAAAGCTAAGCGTCTCTGCGAGTACTTATCAGCAGACTCTCAAAACAGAGTACGCTTCTATTCTGTTCACAGCAGTAAAGCATGACGTCGCAAAGGTTTGTTGCAAGATGGTTAGTTTCACTCTGTATCTCTTTCTTTTTTGCTTTTTAAAATAAGCTTAAGAAGAAAATTTATAGTTCTCTTGTAGAGGCTGAAATTGCTCTTTGCCCCAGTAAGTGTTTATCTCAACATTCTTTTAATGACTCTTATCTCATTTTGGCCGCGTTGCGCAGATAAGGGGGGGGATTCCACCTCTCCTTTCTGTATCGTTTTGGAGATTTAAAGGGACTTAAAGAAATCATCATACTCTTCAATGCTGCTGTTGCTATTACAGGTACTCACACATGTGCATGTCTTCATTGGTGTTCTGGATGAGTGAAAATAACTCTCTTACTTGGGGGCATTCACATCTGGTGCAGGTTATGGCTGCCAGACCTGCTCTTCTTTGTTCCGTGCTTCTGGGATGATCCAGGGCTTCCACCCGCTTGTTCCCTCAAGCGAGGGGCCCGAATCAAGTCCCTTGCTCCAGACCTCCCTCCAGGAGATCCAGTAGGGTTCAGGATCCCCTGAAACCCCCCTAAAAAGAATGAAGAATTGGTCGTAGCCAGCAGCAGTTCCTGGTGTCGACTGTTTCGATGCGCCAAAGCCCAGCCCCCCGTTAACTTCCATTTCAATATATCTGAGGAAGTGTGCGTACACACACGAAAGCTCATACCTTGAATAAAACTTTGTTGGTCTTAAAGGTGCCACTGAAGTTAAACTTTGTCTTGAATTGCTTCAGAAAGTGATTTCTTATCTATACAAATAGCTGACATTAAACTGATATTTTATTCAAAGACAATCAAGAACCTAGAGTTTTAGCTGTATTTTGTTTCACAACTGTGACAAAAGATTTCAAATTGTGCACTAAGTGCAGAAGTAATTCTGTTACATGAAGGGTAAGAACACATTGATTGCTCCACCGTTGATAATGCAATGGTTTGGTTCATGCATTTATACCCATATGAGGGACTAGACTTGTTTCTGACAATGAGACTTCACACTCAGGAAGCTGCTGTGTAATACAAAGACTGAAACAACACAAGAGGAGAATCGCCTGTGCGCGGGGAGGGCGGGGTATAAACGAAATAAAATAAATAAATAAATAAATAGTTGTGTGTTCCAGTACAATCTGACCTCCGGTTTCTCTTTTGCAGCTTTTCTTGTACAGTAGCAGGTCAGTAATTTAATTTGTTGTTGTTCAACAAATTCATGTTCGTTGCATCTATGACACTGTCTAACCATCTCATCCTTTGCCGTGACCTTCAATCTTTCCCAGCAACAGGGTCTTCTCCAGTGAGTGCTCCCTTCTCATTTGGTGGCCAAAGTATTTGAGCTTCAGTTTCATTATCTGGCCTTCTAGGGAACAGTCAGGGTTGATTTCTTCTAGGATTGACTGATTTGATCTTCTTGCAGTCCAAGGGACTCTCAAGAGTCTTCTCCAGCACTATAGTTCAAAAGAATCTATTCTTCGGCGCTCGGCCTTCCTTATAGTCCAACTCTCGCTGCCATACATGACTACTGGGAATACCATTGCTTTGACCATGCGGACTTTTGTTGGAAGGGTGATGTCTCTACTTTTTATCATGCTGTTGAGGTTCGCCATCACTTTCCTCCCAAGGAGCAGGCGTCTTTTAATTTCATGGCTGCTGTCACAGTCTGCGGTGATCCGGGATCCCAGGAACTTCACTGAAGTCTGTTACTACTTCCACGACTTCCCCTTCTATTTGCCAAGGAGTGATGGGGCCGGATGCCATGATCTTAGTTTTTTTTTATGTTGAGCTTCAAGCCCACTTTTGCGCTCTCCTCTTTTACCCTGAGCAAGAAGCTCTTAAGGTCCTCTTCACTTTCTGTAATTTAATATCACTGCATATATTCTCCTTACATGATTATAAAGTTAAGTTATAAAATTAAGCCATGCAGTTCACATTGAAATACCATTTTTAAAACCATTTTAAAAAGCATTATTGAAAAGAACATCTTAATTTTATACATTAAACATTCAATTCTGATCTTGTATATAATTACAGAGCAATTAGCAGAGACATTTTAACAAATCAAGAGAAATGTCAGCAAGAGGTGGAAGAATCACATTTGTATAATATTACTTTCTCAAAGACGTTTCTTAAAGACTACTTAGGTGATGAAACTTACAAGATCTAGCATGTAAGCAGATAATGCTGTTCCTTTCAGACAGACATCAGGCAGCTACCATCACAGTGAATTCAGTGTGTGAGGCTATTCATAGCACAAAAAACATTCATCAACATTCTAACATGTAATAAATGTACAGAAATAGTGTCTGAACCATTGCTTTAATCAGAAAAGCCCTTCATCCCCACTTTTCAAATCTTGGATACATGAACCTAGATTCCACAGAAAAAAGCAGGCTGTCAAGGCACAGCTATCCCAAATTTCTTAGTCGCTAGCTATTAATTCTATAAATATACCAGCAGGACTTCCTGTTTTCTGAATAAACAGTGGTGTGCCCCTCAGTGTGCAGAATTTCCTCTTAGAAGGCAAAACAGGAACACCCAGTAAAAGGATTCTAAATGCAAGTTATAATATTTAAGACTGCTCTAACTGCCTTTGACTTCCAAATACATTCTAATATTTGTCTCCACCAGCAGCATTATTTAAACAATCTCACAATAACTCTT